TTGTTAAGCTTTCGGTCCGCTTATTCTGGGTCTACGTTCGAAACAAGTATGGATCAGTTTGTAAATGTACAGAACGATAAAAATTCCTCCCGATTCTGTATTAAATTACATCATTTATTTCCCTAGGAACGCTAGACCATGTATTGTAATATATTGTTAGAGTCGCATTGACGAATATATATAATTTCATGTTATCTTGGCTTTTCGCATCTCATAGAATACAAAAGCGAGTCTCGGTTTCCTTTCTCCGTCTGTTTAAAATGTATTACAGATATATTCACCGAAACTAGCATGGCTCATCCCCGTCAAAATGATGACGTCATTGAAAATTAAAGACGGATTTAATAGTAGCACTATTTTTTTGATTAGTGGGTTTTCTTAATTAATTAGACTTGTTTAGTAGTTTGCCGAAAACGGTCAATTCGTTAAAAAATGCTAAATTCAGTTCAACCAACTGAAATCATCACCTTTAGGAATAGTCATCACCATAAAAATGTGGTGCCTAAGGTGATTTAGATATTTAGCTGAAATCTGGATGCCTAGAGAAAAAACTTAAGATGTCTTCAAAGACCACCACTACAGGGGCATGTTATTAACTTATTATAAAATTTAAAAAGTTTTGTAACGAAAAATTTTGAGGTGACGTCATCAAATTGTTGGTAAGGGTGATTAGACAAATTTTAGTTGACGTTTTCCCATTTAGACTAGACTATCTTCATAAAATACAATTAAAATTTTATAATAATAGTATCGGCAGTTTTGGAGATCTATCTAATAAAATCGACATAAACGAAATAGACGAAAGACAAAAAACTCAGTTTTATGGAGGAGAATATTGAGAGAGCAATAATTGTTAATGTACATAGTGTTAATTCAGATGGAATTACTTAAGCTGTAATTCAACCCTTACTTAATGCAGCAAGCACACGAGCCTATACAATGCGACTTGAATGATACCTGCACGGATCCACTCTATTAATCACCCATACTCTGCCACTGCCTTTGATCCGAGCGAATTATGTTACACTCGCTCAGTTGACTCGATTAACAATTGCTCCAAAAATATGTATGCATTGATAAAGCGCAAGGATATGCCTGTATTTCTAATGAGTTTTGCCACTGGAAAATGTTCCGATCTATATTTCAGCAAAGAGACTTTTGTCTTGTTTTGATCAATGAAAAAATTGGAAACGCACCGGGGATCGAACCAAGGACCCTTCTTCTGCAAATTAGAGCGCATCTCCATAAGTCTGTAGGTAAGGCTTACGTTGCTACGTATTGTATGACAAAAGAAGAAGAAAGTTTAAACAATAAAAATTACAATAATAACAAAAGTAAGGCAAATTCATAAAGCAAAAGTACAGGGGTATATTATCTTATACCGATAATTTATTATACATTAAACGGCATTTATAAAATTGAAATAGCGTTTACTACGTAAAATTTTAAGTGGTGTGGATGACAAATTGTGGCCAGTGTTTTACAAGATACTCCTAACACATATAACATTTGACAACAATCGGTCCGGTGGTTTCGAAGATTATCTGTCTACTAAAAATCAGCACAGGAGGCGGATAACGGTAAACGGTAAACAGACAGACGGAAACAGGAAACTTATTGTTGTGCGATGACGTCAAAACTTCTGTGAGCAACACTCACAAATAAAATCACAATAAAAGCAATACCGCATCTTCGAAAGTATTTTTCAATAGAAATTTATTTACTAGGTTTTCGAGATGACGTCGTTAATTTTCTCAAAAGAATTAAATACATTTTAGTTAATATTCTGTAATTTCCATATGTTTGCCCGATAACAATTTAACAAAAGAAGGACGAAAGTCTTGATAATAGCATCAAATGCAACAATTTGTTTAAGATAATGAATTAATGAGTAATGACAAAAGATAGAAACCAACCATATGTCGCAAATTAGAAGCTTCATATTGTTCTAATTAAATTATCTACATATACTTTTTGTTGCAAGGACGGGAAGAAGGCATCAGAACGATTTTTCTTTATCATTTTGAAAAAAATTGTACCAGAGTGAAGTGAAATCAGCTGTTATCGTCACTGTCGTTAAGTTAAAGAAAACCACATATGAAGAAGGTTCATTTGCGTGAACTGCTCATTTTCTTTGTTTCAATACAATATAAAATACTGCTTATTGAAATAAATAATATAAAATAATTCCTACATAATGTGTTCATAAATGCACAATTAACTGTGCCGTGATGAATAATTTCTAAATAATGATATCATTTGACATTTTATGGCATAAGTTGACATACATACAGCAAGACAAACAAAAAATCAACAACAAAGTAATACGAAAAACAAGAAAACAATAGTTCAATGAAATGTTAAAAAGATAAAATTAAATAAACCTCAAAAAAATTGATGTATTTGCAATTTATCCAGTGAAACTAAATTTAAAATTCCTTAATTTAATTTACAGTCTGATCACATTTAATAACTTGTCATTTCATGAAATGTCTAACAAGCGCCATTTTTGTTTTACGCTTCAGGTCTTAGTTGATTTTAATCCGGTCCTGGCGGGGCTTGTTAGTAGACGGTCGCAGACGGATCTGCACCTCATCCAATTGCTACTTTACGTAATATCATGTACGATCGTACAAAATTATCCCCGTTCTTACGTGAAATGATTACAAGTTACATCTCCAACATTTAGCGTTTATATAACCATTTGTTGAAGTATTAAAAGTCGTATTCTGTTATAACTTTATTGGCTTTAATAACAACAAACGTGAAACAACACTGTCTCATAAATTATGTTAGTCTGTGCTCCCAGACAAGAGTTCCTGATTTGATCATATTATCACAGTGAAAAATTGTTCAGCGCTCGAATGCTTCAAATTTTCTTGACATTCAAGTATGCGTAATGTTCAAACTTTTACAACATTGTGGCTAGTTTTTTGCATGTGGCTGGCTTTCGAATAAATCGCAGTCTGAGGTCAACAAGCTCCAGAGCGTTTTTTCTAACCCTATTAAAGATACGAAAAAATGTTCGTCTGCAGACACATTTGTATATTTATAATTAAGGCCTAAAGGAATGACAAGAAATTTGTTCCTCACTTAGCTAAGTTTGTCTCTTAAGCCAAAAACTATTCACTTCTAAATAAAGTTTGTTGAATCTAAACGAAACTTGATGTTTCCAATAATGTTACAAACAATAATTTAATGTGTGAAAATATTAACATTACCTTTGACAATTTTATTATTTAAAACAAAGCACTGGAGTTAAATCACATCACAGTATCGTTAATACACGATTATAATTTTATAAACATGAACGATATTTAGACACAAAGAAACTAATTTGTGATTGCAAATTATTCAAAACACGAAAACAGATATATTGGAAATTATGAATAAATTAGTGTGTAAACAGTTTGGCAAGTGAGTCTGATTGCCTGTCACAAATTGCAGCACTTGCTTGTATAAACGAGCCCTAAAATCTAATATTGACTTGCAAAAGTCATATTGTCACACAAATAATAAAAATGTGCAGCTGTTTTATAGCGACAAAACATGAAAAATATAAAAACTCCTTATTTTTCGTAATTCGTTAAAAAAGCTTTAAAATAGCAAGACAAGAGAAACTCAGTACTCAACCAATTTCCCCGTAAAATGTAATGCCAGTTTGATCAAAAACTTTCCACAAAATAAAGTTTCAATCGTTTATTCACACCACATTTATTCCTTTCTCATAAACTGGGGTAAAAAGATACGAATAATTTGTTTAAATGTAATCGGGACTCCCTAGTCGAAGATAAATGAATACCGTGTTCACAAAAACTTAGAAGGGCGGACACAATAACGAGCCGAAAACCACTTTTTTGAAATAATATAGTTTAAAGATTATTCCAGAAATTTTATTGTAGTGGTAGCAAAGATGGCATTTTTTGAAGGACAAGAATTTTAAAGATAACAATATATCCAAAATTGCACGTTAAATTCAGAAGTTTGGTTATTTTATTGTTAAAAGATTAAGACAAAATTTGAATACAGTCTGAAACACGACGTGATGAACATAAGAAAAATCTAGTTTCAAATAATATGAAAATTCAAGGAAAGTTGCGATATGCAGAATGGCAAACGTTTTATGGGAAATGGTGCAACATTCTTCAGAGAATCGGTATACTTTTAATAACTGACAACACAGTCACAAATCTTTCATGTAAAATGCACTACATGTGCGTTTTATGCGCTGCCAGCTGAAAGTAAACTTCACAATAGATCCTTAACTTCTTTGCTATAATGAAAGTTTCGAGGAAAGCGATACTCACAACATCGCACAAAAGTATGTCAGAAAAAAGCTTCAAATGGACTGCTAAACGTATTTCGGTTTTTTGTCGCAAAGAAATTTTTTTAATAATCTACCTTAACCAGTTTTCTTTAGGCAAGGTTAAATTTAGATGGTTTAATCCATGTAATTTTTTTTTAACTTAATGATATATTTTTGAGATCGTAAATGTCAGTTTTACAGTTGTCGGGGCCAAAAAAATATTTATCCTAACTTTCGGTAAATGTTGTGGGGTTTGGTATAAACAATACTTCGACGGTGAGGAATTTTAAGAGCATATTTGAAAGCAACAAATCTAACGATATCGAAATTCAATGCTTTGTATTTTGTATTCAGATTCAGTACTGAGCTTTCAAGAGCTGAATAAAATTCTTCGAATTTGTGATGCATAAGATTTACAAAGATTTTTACGCAGTAATTAAAATTGGAATTTTAAAAAGTTTTTGATAGAAACTGAAATAAAAATGGGTTACGATATTGGTATGGTAGTAATTGCTGAAAAAAGAAAACCATTACATGTTATAATAATAATTTATTACTTTGTGTGTTATAAAAGCTAGGTTCCACATAAAGAATAATACATAGTAAACTGAATAACTTACTGGAAGAAAAGAGTTTCTAAACGGCATAAATAATCTATTTCTACATAGCTAAAATACGAGAATCTACAATAAAAGTAAAATACTTGCTGGTTATTTACAAAAGAAAAAATATGCTCTTACAATGGAAACTCTAATCTGAAATGTGATAAAACTTTAACACACGCCGCACTATGCAGAAACTTTGCTCGTGTCTCTTGTTCTGTAAAATAACACTCGTCGGATGATAAAGGTGGCGCTATTAATTTATATACAAGATACGCTAGCACTTTATTTAAAGCTACGAATTAAACTAAAGTCAAGCTCAGACTTTGCCCTTGTTAAGACCGTCGCTTTCGACCCACATTTATGATAAAATTCGGGGTGAGATTTGTTTCTATACTTGGTGGCACAGAAACTTAAATATTCATGATCCAATAAAGAGTCAGTTTTTGGATAAATTCGAATATTATTTATGAAGTGATGTCTCATTTCGTCGATTATTGATTTCCTTTCGTTGAGCTTATTTTCAGAAAAAAAGTTGTCTTGAGATTTACAATAATAAACAGGCCACGAGCAACTTTTCCCCTTTTCATTATCAAGCTTAACGTATTCCTCTTTAAATACCGTAAAAATTCCGCTTGACCTTCGATCTTGTAAAAGATTTTCCAGGCGAGTGATTTCCAAGTCCAGAGCGGCGAGTTCGCATTTATAAACTTTATTTTGTATTTCTAACCGAAGTATTTGTTCTTTTGGATCGTTGGTTATGAAGCGTCTGGTGTTATATTCGATTTTTAAGCCCATACTCTGCATGACGGGATCGAGGGAATTATGACGGCCAAAGACGGACTTAAATTTTGGTAAAAACAGCAAAAATAGTGTCAGAGTGGTCGATGCTAATATACTTGTAGTTTTCGCCAAGTAATTAAGCACGACATATTCGTCCATAAAACTTGTCAAAACTGTAATTATGGCGCTGAAGACGGCACTGTAGACGCATATTCCAATATACTGAGAGTCGTTCAAAGCTTGAACTTTAATATGACGTGTCTCCCAAGCCATAAAGAGCCCCATTATCAAGATTAAACCTTTATAACCATAAACTGCAACAAACCAACCGCTTGTGTTCTGCGAACGGCATACTTGCACCTGCAAAATTACTCAGGATTTCTTATTCGCTGTTGTTTGGCTTATTAATTTACCTGTGGCTGGTAAACAACTCCACGGTCTTCGGAATTAATTTCTAAAGTTAAATTGTATAACTGTCGTTCCATTGGATCGATCATTACCCACAGTGTTAAGATAACTGCATCGATTACTAAAGGAACCAAAATTAAAGCAATCAGTTGGTTGTCTTTCAGCAACTTGTCTTTCACTTTGCTTGGGCCTCCCGTGTGAGTGAAAATTCTGTGAACTCGATACGTCTTGGCAAACATCGAACCAAATGCTAGAGAAAATCCTGATGAAAGTAAATATACGCGGACCTTAAACAAAAAAGTTTGTGAAAGTCTGGTTTCAAATAAAGTTTTATTGTAGTGCATTAGCTAACTACTGCTGCTATTTACTGATGAGATTATTAACAAACTTCGTATTGTATATATTTAAAAGTACAACATTTAAAGTTAAGTGGGCTCTTACGACGTCAATACGTCAATACATTTTCAAAATGTCATAGCTCATTATTAACATACAAATTGCTATGAAAACTTAAATGTGACCTGCCCACAACTTTCACTATATAATGCGAGAGCAATTTTTTAAGCAGTTTATTTTCATATATTTTTTAAATTTTGTTGAAATTTTTTAAAAACCAATGTCTTAGTTATTAATGGAAACTTCGGAACCCGTTTCCACCACTGTTTGCAGCTTACAAAATTTTAGCAATCATATACTTTATTTGTGGGGAACTGAGATACAGTAAAAAGAAGCGTCTAGTACCTTCTACTGCACGCTTTTTTTTACTGTGTCTCATTTCCATCAAAAAGAGTCGACGGTATATCTGGTACATACGATTTCTGAAGTTTTGTAAGCTGAAAATAGTGTCGAAAACCGTGTTCGGAAATTTTCATGAATAATTGAGGTATTGATTTTTAAAGATAGTTAATGCAAAAATTTCACTAAAATTAAAAAAATAGATGGTAATAGCGACTGGCCTTAACCGAAATCGACGTAATCACTTTATAATATTACATTATTCAATTCATAATCGATATTCAACTATTTGACTTTCGTATAATTTCATAAAATTTATCAATAAGTTGTGAAAAAATAACTTGAGTGTTGTCTCCTACTCAACAAGTCAATAGAAACACACTCCTTGGAAAAAATGTTTGTTTAATACGTGGGAAGAAGTTATTTTCACTTGATCGGCGCACAGTTTAACAAAAAACAAAATATTGGTAGACAGCGTAATAATTACTCGTCTATCAGTATCAACCAAGAGCAACTTTTTGTTGCGAATGTGGAGATTGCTTGTCAGGTAAGTGATGTAGATAAGCACGCGGGGGCTAACAAACTGATCGAATGTTATTTCCATAGAACTTCCCTTACTCTTGAAATGTAGCCCGACAAATCCTTCTTCTTTAAAAAAATATAAAATTTGTTTTTGCGATTTTCGTTTTGTACCTGATAAGCCAAATAAAGTGAAAACCATTGCCGTAACTAAATACTAATCAAAGGGAAAAATGTAGATATTCTCAATTGTTCAGTACATGCTTAACTTAACTGCTTATGTTTATACTTCGGACGAATTCGACTATTGGCACGTTCATATTACAAGCAGCAGCGGTTAAAAGAAAATTAAATTGGATTAATTTTGCCTCCTTCAAGGCAGAGGAGAGGACGGATTAATTTATTAACCACACTCATTTTTCCACAAAAATACTCGTAAATTTGAAAACAGTATTCGGCAAGTTAAATTGTAAAATATTGTTACACATACAAAAATCTGGATTCCAAGGATAAAACTCAACACGGATTTATAAACAACATAAATAATACAAAAAACATGCCGTTATCATTTTTTGGAGAGGTGTCATAAACCAATAAATTTTGATTAACGATTTTTTATGTTTCCTATAACTTGAAAATCTTTACAAAATTTTAGAGTATTTGGTTTTGCAATCTAGAAGTTAAGTTGTAAAATACAATTTTGATTTTTTTCCCAAAAACCTGGATTTCTAGGCTAATAATTTACCATAGATTCTTAAATCACCCATGCAGGCATTCGGCAAAATTATAAAATGACGTCATCATTTTTTAAGGGACCAGAAAAGAAAAAAAATGGATGTCTAGGGTCAAAACTCTACACGGATTCATAAACCACAAGTGCAGGAGTATTTTATTTATAAGATTTAAATAATATTACTAACGTAAATTTTGGAGGTGACGTTCTCGTATTGTTGGTGGGATGATTATAAAACGTTTGGTTAGCGTTTTGCCATTTACATCGTATTCATATTCATAATATACATATAAAATTTTACAACAATCGGTCCGGTAGTTTCCAGGATTATATGTTTATTAAAATCGGAGACCTATTTCCTATTTTTTTCGTACCCTAGAGGTCATGAAATGTCGACAAAGCACAAAAATAGCGAGTCGTCCAATGGACTCGATTACAATACTTTCGTAGCTGACGCTCAGGAAGGAAAAAATATTTGATTGGCGAAATGGACTCCATTTTTTTTTTCCCGAAGGTAAGTTAAACAGGGGCTGTTCATGGCTACTTTCATGTTTTCTTTATGTTTCATGACCCCTAAAGTGCTAAACTTACGTCTCTCATTTCTGTCTGTCTGTCGTTTTTCGTTTCTCCATCTGTCTATAACAGTGGCGATTTTTTAGACATATATGTTCCAGGAAAATTAAGAAATATTTTATTAACTTAATCATGTAATCAAAAATGACCTTTTAGTAATACGGTACTGTTATTTGTGTATCGATACAAATGTTTATTTATCCCTACTACAAAGTTGATGACGTCATCACAAAATTCCACCCGAAACTTACGTGCATCGTACTTCTTTACCTATAATGTATGAATCCAGCTCTAGTTTATTGTAAAGTTATCATAACAAAAAAAGTTCGTAGATTCAGATTTATATAGTTTATCTAAAGAACTAGAATAATTTATTCTTTCGAGGTAAGAGAACTTAAATCACTTTCGACCAGTTTCTTTTTGGATAATTTATATACATAAACAATAAATTGGTCCTATGGAATTGTTAGCAGAGAAACACATTAGGTTGCATAATTCATGTTAAGGTTTATTCAACAAAGTTTTGAAGTGAGAGATAATTTAGTTACCACTTTATAATCTTCGTAATACTCTTAAGGTACATTTAATATTTTATCAAAATTCTCCCAGGAGACAGAGTTCAACAGATTCAAATGACGATCTTAGATATTTATATTTCTCCCAGCAATCGCTTGAAAAGTAAAATAAACTTATTTTACGAGAAGAAAATTCGGTCAACATTCGCTTTAATATTTTTAATTAGGCACTGGGAGGGTATTTTCACTCGTATGGAGCGAATAAATATTACTTTTATGAAAATATTTCGTAAAACTCTAACGTGCTTGGAGTTTCCAACTTCATTTTGTAATTTAAAGTTAAAATGTAAATTTCCACGGGCTTTCACCTGAATCTGGGATGCCGTTCTGAATTTACTGCCATACATGCCACTTTCTCTTTCAAAACATCTTTCGAACAGTTGAAAACAAGCTTTGAAAAAGGAAACAGCATTATAATTGCGGCATCACCCGGAAACCCTTTATTATTATTGCTTTTATGATAGGGAAGTGTGTGTTAACTGAATGCATTAATTTAATACATATTTTAAAGAGCATTAAATCGCTTGAAAACAGTGGTTAAAAATGGTGGAGGTGCCGGGACATCTAAAAATAATTTAGACTAGAAGTGGTGCAGTAATTGTATGAATGTTTAAATTAGAAATACAAAAAAGTAAACACAAATAATGAACAGAAACAGAATAAAGCTTTAGATATATATTTTTTTTACCGATATAAAGAGTATTTGTTCAGAAGAGTGAGTTCTTATTATTATTGTGTTATTGCTATTTGCTTATTCGTTAAATGGAACGGCAAAATATATTTACTTCCAGGTAAATTAAAAGTTACAAGGCATAACAATTTGTCAAAAACTAATAACTTTTTACCTTTTTTTAAATCTAAACAACCCAATTTGTTAATGAAGGTAAATTCTAGCTTACTACCTACATATACCTTATTAAAATTAACGATGTTATTAATAGAATTTTGTACAAACAACACTGAATTAGACAAAATATATGGATTATTCATCGAACTTGGTTTGACGATAATTACTCGTGCCACACGAGCTACATCTACGTCTTGTAAATCATTCGAATAAATAACCCTCACGGTGTCAAAGTAGAACGCTAACTGTGTCTACAGACGCACAGAGAGTGCACATAATGATATTTGGTTCCCCTGGGGCTGCGTCCTACGATGCCGGAAAATATCACCATTGTAATTTTGCGGTTGATCAGAAACCGTGAGTAATGTATTAACCCGTGGGAAAAGAAACAATACTGATGCTCCTGGTAGTGAAAATGAAGTGCGTCATCGATTTTAGTTTCCGCACAATTTGTAATCAATAGTTATATTTATACAACACTTTGCTTAAAAATCTCTTAATTTTAAAGCAATCTATGACAACAAATTTTGAAAGTAGTGAGTATTCAAACCTTGGATATTGGATTAATTAATCCACGTTTATTTTAAAAATTAGCGCTCTTTGTTCCAGTCCGAACAATAAAAGCAATGGATGTTTTGCGTTTGAAATTTTAATTATGCTTTTGTATTCTTGTGAGCTTTTAGGCTAATTGTGCGTTAATTAAAAAATACAATTTTCAACTTTTGTTTTATCTGCGTTATATCTGTCCCACTGATTTTCATCTTCCGTTTTAATATCATTATCATTCATCGTTAAGTTAATAAAATATCACTGCTTTTGTTTCTGGTAAGTTTAATTGGCCAATTTGTGTCTAATTCTCAAAACAAGTACACGTTAACAGGTCAGAACATGTCATAACTAAGACAACTAGGGACCTTTTTCTAACCTACTGAAGGGTTTACTGAAACTTTTCGACTGTATAATATATTCGCCTAAATAATCCTTTGTCCTCACCGTGCAAAGTTCGTCAACATATTTGTTCATCGTGAACGTGTCGAAACCCAAAAGGATGACAGAGAGGTAGACTAAAATACACCCGACCACTGCCACATTATTTAATTTAGGACTTGATAATTTCACCGTTTTCATTCGCCTGAAATGCAAATTAAAATAAAGGAAAAACACGGAAAACAAAATCCCCATTACACAAACAAAAATTACACAGTAAAATAAAGATTTGGGAATGGAAATGAGGGATACTTTTAAGATTCTTTGTGCGATAGGCGTCTGTCGGTTCCACCAATTAACGGGTTGGCAGTCTTTGCATTTGAAATTAAGCTCGTTCGACTCGGAATCAAAAACTGCGATGTCTCGAACGCGACCATCTAAAATTTTTAAACCAATTAAAAAGGTTTTAGGAGTGTTTTATTTTCACCTTGCAGTTGACGCAAAGCTGAACTTCCAACGCGATCAGCTCCAATAAACCTCAACGGACCCTGGAATGATTTCAGCCCCTGTTCGGTAAACCTGTCATTTAGCATTAACAAGTACTCACTGATACACCCATAAAATTTAAAGAGCTCATTCGACGCACAAATTCGCAAACAATATCACTTCTCCCGTAATTAAATTCTTGCTCAAACAGTGGATAAACGTCTTTCAAACTTAGTGCTATCGCCCATACCGCGTCGTATGTCAAACCCGCATATTTGGATATTTTATGTGCAGACAGTTGTAATTCCGTTTCGAATTTCTCGCTATCCTGAAAATAATTACTACAAATCCCACTGTTTTCCTTCCACTTATTCATTCCTTACCAGTCCCGAAATAGACATGTTTTCCCCCACGACATTATAGTCTGAAATCAAAATAAGTCCTTCGACTGAGCTTTTTAATTTTAAAGAAGAACATTTCTCGCTCGAATGCCACCAGAAATCGTGTCTGTCTTCTAAAATCCAGACGTAACCCATTCCATACATTCCGAGGTTATATATTTCGCAAAATATTGTTGGTGCTACTTTCGATGATAAAGCCGCTATGATTATTCTTATGTCAGAATCCTTTAATATTTTCAGTTGCTCTTTGTAATTGTCCAGGGAGAAGGTAATTGTTGTCACACATGTGATGTTCTCGTTTTCAAAATCTGTAATTAAGCTGTTGAGAGGAAGCAGAAACTCATTTTCGCTTTGACAAAACGTTGCTACAACGTTCCACCCGAAGTGCTTAACAAATTTAACTTTTGCGGCGTTGTGGGACGAGTCTGGGGCCACAGTGCGGAAGAATAAGGGAAATTTTTTCCGATCACTTAATGTCGGCGACGTGGAACCAAAGGATATCTGCAAAAAAATTATAATTGAAAAACATTAATTTGTTATTAATTTATATTGAAATTATTGTAATTGGATTATTTATATGTATGTTACAGTGGTGGCTCGTGACTTAAGAGATTGTAAGTTGTAGTAAAATTATCAGGTATGTCAAAGCAACTAGAAAAGTAAAGTACATGTACAAAACGACTTCTTTTACCACATTAAAATCTGTTCGTGTAGAATCTTTGTATGTCATAATTTTTTTTCATTTAATAAAAATATTGTTCAACTTATCAGATAATTTTTAGTTACATTTGCGATTCAGCCGAATGATGTTTTGTTCGACTGAAAAATATACAAATACGTTAAACTCATCTTCTTTCATTGTTTCTATAATTTCAAATGAAAATAGGCTGAAATACTTATTTTTGCCTTCCTAATGGCCAATTTACTGTTTTTTCCATGTTCTATACCTTCCAAATTATGAAAAAAATATGTCTGTATTTTGTTAGCAACTGTATCAGATGTTATACGAGCCCTAACAACTAAATGTTCGGACACGTATTCTTTTATACAAAAAAAATTAAGTTAATGAAAAAAAATGTATTTTACAAAAACAAAACTAAAGTAATATATAAGTAGGTATCTTTAATGCAATATTCTCAACAAAAATTGTAATATTATTAACTTAACAAAATTATAACACAGCAAGAAGCTGATATGAACGAATAAACTTGGCAACTAAATATTCGGACATGAGTATTTTTTTTTACTTAGTATGGTGTAACATCTCCTTTTGCTTTGATTACTGCGCGTATCCTTGCAGGCATAGTACTTACAAGACTTCTGCAGTATTCAGGAGTAAAACTTGCCCAAACTTCGTCGATTTTTGCTTTTAAACCTAAGAGTGTTCGTTGGGGGTTGTTGCGCAAAACGGATTTTATGTCCTGCCAAAGTGTCTCAATGACATTTAAGTCAGGGCTGTTCGCAGGCCATGAAAGGACTCTTATATCATGATCCCCAAACCATTTCTTAGTACTTTTTGCGGTATGACATGATGCACCGTCCTGTTGAAAAATATAATTGTTGTCCGGATACAGTTTTTCAACAGAGGGCAACAAACTGTTTTCTAAAATTTGTCGGTATTTCATGGCGTTAATAGTCGTTTCCACCAATTCATAATTTCCCAACCCTTTAGCTGACATGCATCCCCACACCATTATTCCTTTAGGAAACTTTACAGTTCGTTTTAAACAGTCTTTATTGAACGCTTCACTTTTTGATCTTATCACTCTTCTCCGCAAATCTCCCACGCACACATCAAATTTTGACTCGTCACTAAAAATGACCTTTGACCAATCTTCCATGGTCCATGCCAGCTTAGACTTTGCCCAGTTGTACCTATTTTTCTTTCGATTTACCGTTATTAAAGGTTTTTCTTTGGCCTGTATCGTCACGGTGGAACAAATGTAAACCAAAAACTTAAAAATTACCTTATAAAAACTTAATCCTGACTTGTGAATCCATTTCCTACAACATTCTCGTGACAGCTTATGCCCTATTTCATCCGTCCATTGTGCTGTTATGTCCCGCAATGTGTTTCTTCGATTTTTTTTACAAAGTTTTACAAGGAGCCTTTGACTTCTTTCTGAAACTAATTTGGGTCTTCCTGAACTTTTTCCTTTAACGTCTAGTCCACCAGTTTCGCGATAATGTGAGATTATATCCGCTACAGTGGACTTTGCTAAATTCAGTTCTTCACTAATTTCCCGAATTTTTTTACCTTGGCAATACTTCTTTACAATAAGTGCACGTAATGATTTTTCAAGTGGACGTCCACCAACCATTTTGTTAAAGAATATATATATTTTTCTATGGATCTTACAACACAGTTAGGTAAAGCAGGAAGAGGAGAATGATATTTATTAACAATCAAACAATTCACACCGCCTACTTAGTGAAAATTAATTTTTTTATTTATTTGTCCGAATAATTAGTTGCCAAAGTGTATTCACTTTTTCTGAAAAATCCACAGTCATATTTGAATTAAAATTCTATGTAAAGTAAAACATTCAACTTTTTTATTAAAAACTATTCTTTGAAATCTTAGCTTCCTATTTTTATGTGATTTGATAATAAAAATTAAAAATTAATTCATAAAGAGTGGTTTTTGAACGCTCCGGTTAGTTTGTCCGAACATTTAGTTGTTAGGGCTCGTAATCTTTACTACTGCACTGACGGTTGTGTCATTTTAGACATATTTTAAGAATTTCGTGTAGACAGTATGTTTCACAGTAAATGTTATTTAAATTTAATAAAATAACAATGCTATACTTGTGGTTATGAATCCGCTTCTTGTCTTGCCGTGTGACTGGTATTATCTATATTTTCTTAACCTTTTTTTTCAGGAATTGGAAGTTTTGTCTAAATAACCTTGGACCAATTTTAATTTTTCATAATTATTTATTTATACAGGACGTTGACAAAATAATAATTACTCAATGAATTAAGTATATTGATTAAATAAGAAGTGCTTCTTGAAAAAACACTTTAAACTTCCTGGTACACGTGTTTTGGTAATGAAGCCCATTGTTAAATATTGTAGACTGTGCCGGAACAAGTAAATCTAATTTTCTAAGAACACGACAGACAAACTTATTATCTCTTACCTGAACTTGGCATGTTAGATACCTCTTGTTAAATACAGCGTTAATATTTAATGTATTTTATAATGATAACGTAACTGCGGTGAATTCTCTGTATAATTAAGCTTAATAGTGCATAAAATCGTGATCCAACAAAATTCATTCTACGAAAGAAATATATTTAGTCGTACAATTAATGACCCATTTTTTTGTTTATTTAGACAAAAATGTACGCTGTATTAAATTATTTTACTCAGCAGGTTTATCCTGTAATTGTGAGAACATTGTCACTGCGAAACAAAGTTGAATGCATAGTTTGCAGACTGAACTCCGGGAGAAACTATTTTGCACGCTAGATGTAGAATTTGTCACAATAACCAGCTCTAAACTTTTAGCGCAAATAAATTAAAAAATTTTCTTCTCATGGTAGAAGTTCTTCTGTTATATGTTTCATTGTAGTCTAATAAAGATTGAATAAAATTGATTTAGTAACAGAATTTGAATTTGTTATTTCAAATTCTTCGGAAATGGTTAATTGCTTCTAGAACTGAGTTTAATTTAATTTGTTTGCTTATACATTTATTATTTCGAAAAAATATTCACTGCTAAGACAAAAGTAAAAATTACAAAATTTTGTGATGATGTCATCCACATTTTTGCAAGGGCGCATATATCAGTTTGGATAGGTGCATTGTAATACTAATAATAAAATCATTATATTATTGTTATTCTTTAATAGTGATTTATAAATCAATAAAATAAAGAAACAATTTAATCACGTCTGCCTTATGTAATAACAGAAGTGCGACTGAAGACTGAACTGAAAATCATTTACGGAACCCGTAATTTAAGACAAATAGCGATAACACTTATCAACTTGTAGGCGTGAGAGTGAAACAGAAACTAAACTAAAAGATGTAAAAGTAGAAATTAATTTGATTCGAATGAGTTCGTCCCCTCAAAACAGGATCAAAACTATTAAGTAGTAACCTACAATCGACAAAATGTTCTGAGTATTATTATAATTCCTATTTAATAAAGACGTTTGTATGTTCACATTTTCGGGAAAATGGGGTGACTCGTTCTTAATTTGATCAATAAAAAATATGAATGCGATGATGAGTCACAAGTAAAAATGCATCACATTTTGCACATTTTAGGTAGTATTTATTTATAATTTTTTGGAGGGAATAAACACATTTATTTTGATTAACAATTTACCATGCTTACAATGGCTTTAAAACGTCTGCAAGATTTCAAAGCATTCAGTTTTTCAATTCTTGATTTATTCAATAAAATAAATTGACTGATTTATTAATTTTTTTGGGTCACCCTGTATAAGCAAATCTAAAAAAAAACATCTCCAAGATTTCAAAGCATTCGATTCTGTAGTACCTGATTAAATCAATAAAATAAATTAACGCATTTATTAATTTTTTTGTTCCACTCTGAATAAGGAAATCCAAAAAATATGAATGGAATGATAAATCATAAGTACAGACTCATCATATTTTCTACATTTTAAATAGGATTCAGGATATATTCAGTAAAATTTTGTGCTGACGTCATCAATTTTTTGGAGCGATAAATAAATATATTTTGATTAAAAATTTATCATGCTTATCGTAACTTTAAAACATCTACAAGATTTCAAAGCATTCGGTATTGTAGATTCAAAATTAAAATCAGTGCATGCGTCACATCGAATTTTGGCTAAAAATTAATTCAAAACTTTTCTGAGTTGCAATCAGCACTACCACTAATGTTCTCGATTCCAAACACTAATTAAATAAATTAGTTCAAATATATTTTTTTTCACTAGTAGCCAAGAAGCATGCAGTTGTCGACTTGTTTAGAGGTAGTAAAGTTCAACTTTTACTACCAAGGTTAAAAAAGAAGATTGAGGTTATGTATGAAAAAAGTTAATTTTTTAAATAGTTAAAATGCTATAACAAATAGCAGTTATAGCACTAATATACTGATGACGTGTCTTAGGATGAGTAATTCCATTATAAAAAAAAAATCAGTATAAGGTGTAAATATTTGCCACCTTTCATACTCTAATAACGGTTTAATGTAATTAAAAAAAAAGTTTTACAGTTATAAAACAGTCCCAACAGAAATTCATTTTACACAATTTTAATTCTATATGGCAATTTTTTCACCACGACTTTCGTTAGATATCTTTATTGTGGTCGGTATTCGAACTTATTAAGGCTGTTGTTACACTGAAATTCAAAGCAATGCCGCCTACTGATCTAAAAATAATGACTGCTTTATCACAGAAAGAGTTTTTCATGATTTCGCTAGAGAAAAGTTCCAACTATGTTTGTATTTACAATGTTAATTTTTGGAATAACAACAAGTAAATTGGTCAAAATATGTGTCCAAAATTTAACAACGAATTACAACCTTATTTTGTTTTAGTAACGTTTGATTCGTTTTTATACACTGCTATGGACGTTCTAAAAAAGAACATACGTATAAAATTAATGACATTTACGTATTCATAATGTATGAGCTAATTTCAAAGTTTAAAGAAAGTTTCGCGTATGGCATTAAGAATTTTGAAATTAAAATCAATTCCGCCTCGCCTACATGTACAACGACGAAAGTATTGCACTTGATTTATAATAAAACACATTCAGCTTTAATAAAATAAAAAATCCTATTAAGCACAAACAAACATAAACACTTGCATTGAAATTAATTACCTGTAGAATATTCCAGTAAGGTACAACATGAGCCAAACTTTCGGTAACATTTGAGCAACTCGTTCCCAGTAGCATCACGATTGTCTTCTTCGAATAAACCGCGTGGAAAAATCGGTCAATCCCAACCCCAGGGTCGCACTAACTCCGAAACATTAAATTGGTTTTATTAAAACTTTTAAATACCTATACATACCATCGTATCATTGATAATTAGTTTGAGAGTATAGTCTGGGAGTATATTAAACTGGTTAACATGTTTGATAGCGAGTTCAGCTGCGGCAATTTCACTTAATCCTTCCGGTCTTTTGCCCCATTTAGTAGTTAATTCAAATAAACCCAAAATGTGTATAATGTGCCTGGATCTACTGTGATCACCTCCACCGTTCATATAAAACGGCCTCACCAAAGTTTCATTTCCTTCAAATCCGGCAGTGCTGGGATACACATTAAGCTCCTCGGATTTTTTCGAATTTTTCACAATAAATAAAGACGTTATTACAGCGGATGTTAAAAATAGAACACACAAATGCCTTTGAAACGAACGTGTCGGCCACATTGTAAATTACTAACGAGAATTTTTGAAAGAAATCATTGGAGCAAGTTCTTCGAGTACTCAAGAGGTGCTTCAGCTTGCGCACGACTTGGAGGCGCTTCACAATTGACACGTCAGCTTTTCATTTTTACTTTGTGGGCATTACCCTTTTGAAATTGTATGCACTCGAGAGGTGCTCGTAACGAGATATCGTATTATCTTTCTGATGAAGAACGAGCGAGGAAGTTGTAAAATCCGGGATATCTCAACTTAGACAATATATTTTTTCACTATTCAATATGTTTTTGTTGTGGTGGAATCAATTAACAAGCGGAACGTTGACGATGTTAATGACAAACTCAAATGTTTGCTTTCTGTCTGGCATCTCTACGTAAAAAATGTTGCTCGGACTGAATAGTTTTAGCGGTGGTGGTTACATGCCAAGCTTCGTAGCTGCACCTTTAATAATTCCACGTTGAAACTTTAACTAAATTCCTACGTGGACTTGGCTAAAGTAGAGCTGTTGAAAATTTTCTAAATAAAACTTTTTACGTTTTCAGCTTGTTATAACAAATGTTCAGTGCACCACTCAACTTAAATTAAAAAGTTTTCCGGTATGAAGGTGATCCAGTTTGAATTATCACAAACTAGCTTAAAAAATATGGTAAAAAAATTGGTCAAAGTTTATTTCGGTAAAATTTCCCTCGCACCTGAAGTACAGTCAGTTTGTGATAACCTCTATATAAAGTAAAAATCAGTGGCACAAATAACATCCCTGCAGACCCTGGTCCGTGAGGACGAAAATTCGAAGGCAGCGGGGTTCACATAATCACATAAGTGCAAACAATAAAAAATATATTTAAAGCAAATAACCAACTGGAAAAAAATGTCCTATCAGTATCAGTAACATGCTTAACTTCGAGTGTTTACATTTTTACATCCAAAGAACTCGACGATTGGCACGTTCAGTTACAAACATCAGCGGCCGCATGCAGTGGTGTTAAAATAAAATGAAGTTTGATTGATTTTATCTCCTTATTAAACAGAGGAAAGGACTGATTAATTAATTAAGCTAGAATGGAATAAAACGTTCCGAATATTATTTTGCTGATATTATGATAATTATTATTTTATAAATATTAAATCTAGGCGGGTGGGACGTTACTGGGGTGAACGTTTTCGATTTGATCGCTGGCCTTTCATCTACAAACCAAACATCCCTGTCATCGTTAAGTTGGTTTGCTTGGCTACGTATTATGTGAGTCATGAACAAGAAGATTTAAACAATAACAATTATAATAATAATAAGCAAAAACAATGCAGATTCATAAAGCACAAGAGTCGGAGGATAATATTGTATGAGCTCTAAGTTATGTTTATTGTACAAAATTTTGAGGAGAAAAGTGGGATGATTAGACAATCATCTACATGAAATTCCTAATATACATCATACAAAATTTTACAACAATCGGTCCAGCAGTTTGGGAGATCATAGGTCTAATAAAAATCCAGACACACGACAGAAAAACAGACACACAGACGGAAACGGGACACCTATTTTTTCGTACTCTAGGGATCATGAAACGTCGAGAAAACATAGAAGTAGCCAGTCGGCCGATGACTCGATTACAATCCTGTTAGCATGAGCTTGAAGCGAATGCGTTATGAACAATTTCTTTTTCAAACTGTAGCTGTATATACATATATTTAATTAAAAATCTTATCTTAGTATTTCTAAAACTGTCTACACAAATTAAACCTTTGATTAGAAATTTCAGGACATACATTTTGTTTTTTTTTTGTGTGCTGTTTAAATTATTAAGTTTTTTTTAATGTGTGTTTAATTATTTATGCACGATATTTTCAAAGTATAGTACCCTTTAAATATCTCAGAAACTGGTTATCGCTGCATTTGCATAACTGAAAAATCTAAAGTGCTCCTACGTAAAATGGCTAGATAACTTGCGCAATTGACCGGTAAACTTCACCTCGTCCATTTTGTTATTGTTGATTTAAAAAAGGACCGACACCTATTATAAGTTGAGAGCGCGTCAGAAAACTCTATGCGTCGACATCCCTTTGTACGGGTAACCTAATTAATCTGAAATTTGTGCCCTCAAATGAGAGAGATGAGAATTAAATGAATGACTGAAACTGCAAAGCAAACAAATTTTCGTTGCATCAAGATCTTTAAACAATAAAGAATATAGATGATGTTAAATTATGCGTTAATTCAAGAATTCAAGCCCCATATCACTTAAAACAAAACACATATGAAATAAACACAGCAGGCTATGTTCACTACAATAAAAATCAAAATATTCTTTTGAGAATAAATGTTCAAATTCAAGCTGTGAGAAAATAATTAAGCTCACAAGAAAATAATACGTAAACTAATAAGACAAAATAAACATAATTAAGTTATATACTTAAATATCGAGTAAACAGTTATGAAGTATGAATAATGTAATAACATAAATAAAAATATTCAGACTTTAGATATATCGTTAAAAAGAATGAGTCAAGCTTAAATAAGTGAATTTCCGCCAGTGTCTCATATGAACATAAACATTTATTGTTGTTAACTTGTAGTAGAACAATGAACATTTAAAAATCTTGACATGAACTATGAATTTACAAACAATAACCAAAAATACGCTCGTTGGAGGGGGACCCTCGCGTCGAATGTGATTCATACACATTCCAGTCTTCACTACATTGACTACATTATTGAATGATTTTATTCAGAGTACCTACAGAAACTTTCTGAGGATAAGCATGGATTCACAGACCTTGTTTGGCATCTCTGCAAGCTAATGATGTTATCAATAAAATTCGTAAATATATTTATATTTAGTTTATAAAGTTGTTACGAAATCAGATCTCATCAAAAATACTTTTGAATATTTATATATTACACATGCACATGTACCTACGCGTTAAACTGACTTGTGGTATTTTAGCTTCTTCTCTAAAACATTTATTTAAACAACAATGCAGGAATAACATTGTAAGCATTGTTTCCAAACTTTACCTATATTCACATTTCTCAGCGGCTATATTTTAGTTTCTTTGATTTATATCAAATATAATATATTGCATTTTACTTCGCGAAAGGGCTCATCCCTAAAGTCTACGACAGCATGATGATTTACACGAAAACTTTCACAGAACATACAGAGGTCGCTGTAATATCAATTACTGGAGCACTAAAGTTCATAATAAATTGTAACTATCAGAACTTCGCAATGAAATTCCTATAAAAATTAAAGTTTTATTACTTAGGAAAATTACTTTTTCTTCTAGAAAACCTATTCCTGTTCTTAAAACAATATCTGTTTTATTACATTTTTATGTTTGTGTGTTAGTTTGTCACAATGATAACAAGTGTTAATACTTAAAACCCTTGACAAAAAAATGAAGTTTTTAAAATTAAGATTCGTTGGGATGGTTAACGCGCTATCTCCAGTTTCGCTCGAATTGAACTGATTCCTGTTATGAGCTGGTGATCTCGAAATGCCTGAAGTGAGTATCGTTAAACATAGCTAACCCAATTAAACCAGCTTGCAAACAAAAAAACTGTAGTGAAATCGGTTAACCCGTTTGGGAGCTACGGCGCCACAGACAGGCACAGTGTCGGATTGAGGACATGGGGAGTCCACCGAGAAATTTACAAAGTGGGGCCCGGTGGTATTGTATACAGATGTTGTTTGGATGTTATTATTACTGTTATTATTTCCAGTTTTGCTGGCGACATTGCCGTTTTGAAAAAAATGTGTTGTTTATTTTGGAATTTTGATAACGCTGCCAAAAAAACAAAGCTAGTAAAAAAATTGTAGAAGGTTATTTTGACAAAACTTCCCTCGCCTTTGAAGTATGGTCCGATAATTCCGCTTCTTTAAAAAATTATAAAATTAGATTCTGCGATTTTCGTTTTGTGATAACTGTTAACCTCTATAAAGCGGCGTAATTAACATCCCCGCAACCCATACGTCTTTAATAATGGGAAATATATTTAAACAGATATCTAACGGGAAAAATGTAGACAATTTCAATTTCTCAGTATATGCTTAACTTCGACTGTTTATGTTTATACTTCGACCGAATTCTATAACTTGCACAAACATCAGCGATTAAAATAAAATGAAATTTGGTTGATTTTGTGTCGTCAACGTAGAGGAAAGGACTGATTGATTAATTCATACTCAGTTTTTTCCCAAAAACACTCATTAATATGGAGAAATTCGGCAAAAATGTAAGATGACGGACAAATTTTAACTAACGATTTACGATGTTTCAAATAATCTTAAAATGTTTACACGATTTCACAGCATTCGGTTTTTACAATTTCAAAGTTACCTTGTAAAATATTGTTATACAATGTTGATTTTTTTCCCAAAAATCTGGATGCCAACAGTAAAAACTAAACAGGGATTCGTATTTATAATATAAATTTAAACATTTGTTCGGCAGAATTGTACGATGACGTCATAATTTTTTGGGCAGGTCTTAAACGAACAAATTTTGATTAACGATTTATCATCTTTCCTGTAACCTTAAAACGTTTGCAATATTTCAGTACATTCGCTTTTGTAATTTTCAAGTTAAATTGTAAAATACAATTTTGAATTATTTACCAAAAATCTCGATGTCTAGGGTAAAAACTCAACACGGATTCTAAATTACAGATACATGGAGTATGTAGTGCTATAAAATTTAAGAAACATTTGTTCTACAAAATTATAAATTGACGTCATCATTTTTTAGGAGGTCATAAACAATTTACTCTTAAACTTGTAAATTTTTAAAGCATTCGGTTTTACAATTTAAAAGTTAAGGTGCAAAATGTCACACAGTTTTGTGAAAACTCGACACGGATTCAGGAATCACACATGCAGGAGTATGAAATCCTATAAAATTAAATATAATACCAAAAAACGGACAAAGTAAGTAAAATGGTACGTTTCACACCACATTTTGTTTTTTAATTTATTATAAGGTGCTCTATCATTTTTAGCAGACCGATTTTGACGCTGAAGTGTTTTTTTTTTTATTTTTTATAAAAATCTCAAAGTCAGCGGTTTCTACATGGATCCATTGGAATCATGGTCAAAATCTTTAGAAATCCACTACTTTTTAAAAAAATAACCTTAAAAAATGGGGTGAAATGTTAAAAAAATGCATTAAAAAAATATTCACGATAAAAATTGAGTTTTTTTTTATTTTATAAAAAAGCAATAAAAAACTTCAACGTCAAAATTGGCCAGATTGCTTAAAAATATCATAACGTACCTTAAAATAGATGAAAAAACAGGAAAAAAAAAGCGTCAATAAATGAAAAAAATATATATATGAGGTGAAATGTACCATTTTACTTTCTACTGATTTCAATTTAGAAATTTCATCTAAAATGTCGGATAATCCAATCCTTAAACCTGAGTCATTCAGATGAGCATTGGACTTGAAATAATAAACAATACTTTTGAATCACCAAAAATTATACATTGGTAAATATGAATTCAATCGGCAAAATTGTAAAATCATGTCATTATTGTTTTAGAGGGGCATCAACAAAGAAAATTTGATTAACGATTTACCGTGCTTACGATAACCTAAAACGTTTCCAAAATTTCAGAGCAGTTTCAAAGTTAAATTGCAAGATGTTGTAATTTTAATTTTTTTTGTCCAAAATCGAAAAAAAATTTGGATGTCTACGATAAAAATTCAACAGGGGTTCATAAACCACATGTGCAGGAGTATCTTATTTTATAAAATTTAAATAATATTTACTAATGTAAATTTTGGAGATGACGTTAACAAATTGTTGGTAGGGATGATTATCGAAATTTTGATCATCTACACGATATTCGTAACACACATATAAAATTTAACAACTGGTTCATTGTTTCGGGGATTATCTGTTTAATAAAAATCCGGAGAGACGGCAGACAGGCAAACAGACAGACAGACAAAAACGGGCGACCTATTGTTTCGTACTGAATTTACGCTCTGAAAGTTAAAAGATGCTCTTATTTAATATTTAATACATTGTTTTTTACGTGCCTGTTATATTTTTAGGAATATTTATTGCATTTGTAATTGTAACATCCTGGATATGTGAAAAATGTAAATAAATGGTATTAAAAAAAAGAAGTAACTATTTTTTTTTTAACATAACAGACAAATGTTAAATGCGGTAAAAAGCAAAATAAAGCGGGTTTGGTGCGCATCTCCTATTGCATGAATGTGTCAATAACAAGAACTTTCAAATTCAGCTTGTCGAACACAAATAATACTAAAAAATAATTTTGTTGATGATAATTTTCAAGATCCTTTTTTGAAAATGAATCAACGTTCAGATTAGTTGAAATGCCATAAATGAATTATGTGTTTTAAATCTTCAATCAGCAGTTATGAAGTGTGGATAATGTAATAACTAATAACTAATTAGTTCTGGCACCAATTATACGTCCTACCCCAGACAGTGCATTGTAATTGGATTTGTAAGATCATTTGCTCCAAGCTCCATCGACAATAACGGTAATATATGGAACGCAATCATTATCTACCTCCCTCGCCTCCACAGCTAATCGGTACTCTTCTTTACCTGCGTTTTGGTTTGTTCTTCGAAAAGTGCTTCGATGCTCTTTAGAACTCTAGCCTCGGCTTTACGATATGTCGCCTGGGGTATTTGAGGGATATCTAGAGCTGAACAAAATTCTGAAATTTGAGAATAATATACGCCTGTTGATCTAGCTCCACAAATAGCTGCATAATTGACTTTGTATATATGATTTTCAGGTTCAGTACAAAGATTACCGAATATTCCGTACATATGACATTTGTAGTAGAAAACACTTTTTAAACCATAACAATTTTCATGAGTTATTTCAATATTATCTAAAGTACTGATTGATTTCAGTGTTGTTAATAAGTGGCCTATATCAACAATTCTACGTCCAGTAGTAATTTCTCGACATGTCATGACCTCTAGAGTACGAAAAAAGTGGTCTCCCGTTTCCGTATGTCCGTCTGTCTGTCTGTCTGTCTGGTGTCTGTATCCATTTTTATTAGACAAGTGTTCTCCGAAACTACTGGATCGATTATTGCCATATTTTATATGTATATTAGAAATATCATGTAGATGGTTAAACGCTAACTAAAATTTGGCAAATCATCTCCACCACCAATGGGATCATCTCCAAAATTTATAATACAAAGTTTTTTAAATTTGATAAAATTAGATACTCCTGCACTTGTGGTGTATAAATCCGTGTAGAATTTTCACCCTAGACATCTAGAATTTTTGGAAAAAATTTTAACTTATACGGGTTCTCATAAAAAAATTAGAGATGTACCGACTGTAGGTCTGGCCGACTAACCAACTAGCCGATTGTTCGGCCAGTAAAAACCGACTAGTCGGCCGACTGTTCGGCTTTGCTAAAACCGGTACTTTAACGCGGGGTTAAAAATTAAATCGCAATTAAATATTTAATTGAGGTTCTGTAAAGCGGGTTTAATTGTTTTATATACTATTTTAATTTTAATAAAAAAAGCCGACCGATCGGCTGTTTAGCCGATCAGTCGCCGACTGCCAGCCGACGATGAAAAACGACCGAATAGTCGGCTTATCCGACCGGTCGGCCACTAGTCGGTACATCTCTAAAAAAAATAAAATTCGCATAATCAAATTTTACAATTTTTCGAAAAAGCTGGGTTTGTTTTATTGTATTTCAGAGGCGAGAGAAGTTTTGTCGAAATAACCTTCGACCAATTTGCTTCATTCAAAATACATTCCGAGAGGTACCTAACTAGGTATGTACCTACCTAAATTTCTAACATTTTGGGTTGAAAAATTCCAAGATTACTAATAAGATATACTCACAATAACGTACCTTCGTACCTACAATAAAATATTCTTGGAAATTTAATTTTACTTTTCTACCTACTTACAGAATATGCCCAACACGTACGAATTTTTATGGAAACAGGAATTTAAAAATAAGAGGAAGAATTATGGTCGGAATTATATATATGAACAAGCATTTTTTTGTTGTGTGTATTGTGAGTAAAGATCTCAACAGTCTCTGACAATGATTTTATTAATTTATTTTAAAACACACATTTGGCTTTTTTCATTTCTTATGACAGTAAATTAGGTTAAACCGCATATCAAAAATTCTCTTTCAAGGGACTTTATGCTAAAAAAAAAGTAAAAGGTGCTATTTAAAAAATTATCGATCACGTCATACACCTGTCAAATATCGCTCAAAACTTTTGAAACTAATATTACAAAATGGCAATTTTTATATACCAGTAGACGTGTTTTTGCGTTTTTACTTCTCGAACGTAAGCTAAGAAATTTTGTTTGTTTTCTTTCATAGTAGATAAATATTTTAGTTCCTTACTCTGCTCTACCTGCAAACTGGGATACACTTCCCCCGCTAACAATAGCAGTAATAAAACTAGTTATTGTAAGCGAAGTGAACGATTTTAACCCTTAGAGATGAGTGGCAGCTGTCATAACAAGGTAGCATGGGTTGTTTTACAAGTTGCATATCTTTTAAAATAGAAATTTTCTTGAGGTGTGGTGGAGCCTTAAGTATAAGTGGAGCTGGACTAAGTGAATATCCTGCCACGTGTTTTATAGAAACATTTTATGATGAAAACATTGCAGTAGAAACATGAACTGTTAAAAATTTTAACATGAACTATATAAGAATTTACAGACAACAAAACAAAAATAACACGTGTTGATGGAATAGTGAGTTTTACACATTTCAAATTAGACAAACCTTAATAATATGATATTGCACTAATTGTCCTCGTTGGGGAACACTCTAGCGTCGAATGCGACTCATTTTTGTTTAAACAACTACCCATTTAGGAAATTTCAAACTAAATTAGACGTACCCTTAATTTTAACACTGCGTTTTCACTGCACTTACTAAACAAGAGAGATATTTTTTTATTGTTCTTCAGATGTGATAACAAACATTTTATTTTCGAAATCAAAAAAACAAAAGATACCATAGATATAAATCAGTTTTTTTTTAATTGTGCTAGTTTCTCGTAAAACTTTTCTTTTGAAATTGGAGATAAACAATTCTCGTTAATATTTTTTAATGAGTATATGAATTTTATCACCCTGACCACAGTGGTCGCCCCCATACAACTTCCATATTTAATTGGTAAAATATGATAGCGACGAATACACTCAATTTTATAGTATATTGTTTTTCTGTAAAAAAAAATCCTTTTTGATTTGTGTATCTTAAATACTTTGTTTTTTGAGGCAAAGATCAAAACAATTAACGCCAGTTATACTAGGTATTTTCAGTTTTTTAGATGCAGTGCCTAAGCAAGTTTCTTTTGATCAAACTCTGACGCTATACGGCTGCTCCTGTAACCACTGAATTATAGAGGCTCTAAAATTAGCCCAAGAAAATTGCACCCTTCTATTTAGAAAAATGTTTGATGACGTCATATTGTCTCCACAAGAATAGTTAATAGGCAGTCTGGTAATTATTGGAAAATACATAGAACATCTTACTTACCCGATTCTTAATAGCATGGAGGTGCAGATTATCGTCAAAAAAAATTTAACTTAAATTTTTTGTATATCTTCAAATTAACAGATAGTGATCGAAAAAAAGACCTCTAGTTAAGCCATGAAACTAATTTTTAAACTAACAATGGCAACACGAACGCGTTCCTTGTTCCGTTTGACAGTTCCGATCAAATATAATAGGTAACTCAAATGATTAAATAGTTGCATCATTATTTTAAAATGAATTTTATGCTCTACCAGAGGAATTTTTTCTCTAATCATATTATATCTATAACATATAAAAGTGTTTGAATGCGGTACTTTACGACATTGCATGAAAATTATAAATTTTAACTTGTACTGTTTACGTACAGACCACGAAAGTAAAAAAATAGCCGCTATTCTAATGAATTAAATACATATTAACATTCACAGCCACATTTATTCAACACCAAATTAAACTGACAGTTTTGTTAACACGATAAATAAGTAAATTTACTCATACATATGTACATGAATAAAATCACACATATTTAATTATGCCACAAACCTTGAATCATTTTATCAGATACAACTCTGTTACAATTATTCGCCATTTCAAATACAATAATTTGTATCAATTGTCATAGTCACTTTTGGAATTTTAATATTATTTCTATCTTTCTTGTTAAGAAATAAATTGTAAATAAATCTAAAAACTAATAATGCCATACCAATATCAACTAATACACACTATAGTAAAAAAACGCTAAAACAAATGCTAGAAAAGGCCATTATTCTCTGTTTTGATATCATGATTCCTCTTGGCAGTGCTTTCATTTTGATGAATTTTTCTGTGTGTTGCTAAAGCGCCTGATTGGGCAAATGCATGACCACAAACCATACAAACATAAGGTTTTTCACCAGTGTGGGTCCTAATATGAGCTTTTAATCCTTGACTTTCTGTAAAACTTTTACCACAAAAACTGCAAACATGCGTTCTTTCGCCATTGTGGCTTCTCATATGCACTTTTAAGTGGCTGGATGTGGTATAACTTTTAAAACACACTGCACAGCTAAACGGTTTCTCGCCTGTATGTGTTCTCATATGGGTAACTAAATCTCCAGATCTTGCACATGCTTTCCCGCATACCTAAAATATTGATTTTGTCAAGTTTCTTTCTGATTATACATATCACATGCATACACTACAAATATATGGTTTATATCCAGTGTGTACTCTTAAATGCATTTCTAGTTGACTATTTTGGGCAAACCTTTTCTTGCAAATTGAACACACGTATGGTAATTCTCCTGTATGTTGTCTCATGTGTATGGATACATAGTGACTCTAAAATCAATATTTTTCAACAGATTGAAAGAGATAAATTTTAACAAACCTGTGTGAATGATTTACCACAAACAGGACATAGGTAAGGTCTTTCCCCACTGTGTATTCGAAGATGTTTTTTTAATACAAACGAATGAGAGAAACATTTATCACAAATTTTACACACATATTTTTTCTCACCAGAATGTGATTTACTATGAGATCTTAATCCATTAGGATCCGAAAACCTTTTTCCACATATATCACATTTAATAGGTTTTTCTCCTGTGTGAGTCCTCATATGGACAGCCAAAACATTTGCCTCATAAAATCCTTTACCACAAACAGTACATAAATGACGCTTTTCACCCCGATGTTTCCTTAAATGTCTAGTTAAACTACCAGATTCTGTAAACGTATGTGAACAAAGTTCACATTTAAAAGGTTTTGATTTGAAATGTATCCGAACGTGACGTTTTAAAACTTTCAAACTATTAAATGCTTTATCACAAATTGTACACTTTGGAACACCGTCTTTCGGATGAGCTACTTTATGTAATATCAGATCATCCTCTAAGTTAAAACCTTCTGAACAAATATCACAATGAAAGCTAAACTTTTTACTCGATTTTCGACCTTTCCTTTGATGATGAGATTCCTCCACTTTCGGGCAATCCTCAGACACATCCGTTTTGGGGTCGTCGCAGTTATTTTCCGTGAAATCAATTTTAAACAATTCGTCGAGCTTTAGGTCCAAATCGTCAATTTCATAAGGGTTAAGGAGATGCTGTCGTAATATGTTATTAGATTTAACACAAACGTTTTTAAACGAGTGGGCACTTATTAGTAGGTTTTTACACTTAATACAAATGGATTGTGGCAGTTTATCGTCAATATCGAACTAAAACAACTCATAAACAGAAGTTTGTTTGAATTAACCTCAAAATTTTACCTCTAGTGATGTACAAAATAAAAACATGTCTTTTAATTCTGAATCTAAATACGACATTGCCTCGTTATCTTCCGATAAACATGCTCTGCACATTCTTTCTAGACTGGTATTATTTATATCGAAATTATTCATTATTATTGTTGACATGAAATAGGAGGCGTCAATGGTGTCAAACGTCACATTATAATAACCAATAATAAGGGAAATGTCAATGTCAATCTCTTTCTCACACACGCTCATATAAATAAAGGTACGCTTACACGTCGCTACTGAAATGATGAAACACTATTTTGTGTAATATTTAATACATATTTAAATATTTTATGTTATCAAATAGCAAATAGCACAGTCGAAGACATTAATTTGGTTGTCTCAAGGTTGCACTCTAAAATGCAAAATTGTAAATTTTAGTTGTGTAATAGACCACTATTTAAAAATGTTACTATGTTATCAATTTCATTCATTTCAAATAACTACAGTGTAATGAAACATTGGAAAAATTTTATACTAAAGTACTGTAGAGTTTTAAATAACATATATCTACTGTGGTGCAAATTATCCCAAATTTGTGATAAGTGTTTCAGAAAAAATTGCTATCACAAAATTACTAATGGGTCATGTAATATAGGTAATATACATATAACTAGGTATGTGTAATATGTACACAATTTGTATCACTTTTAAGTCACAAGTGTGAAACTACATAGCAGGGGATGCCGGCGAGCACTAACCTAGTAACTAGTAAGCTAGTAAGTAAAGAAGTTAAACAACGTCAGAACTTGTTATCGTCAAAAATTATGCAATAGAATACTTATAAAAATAAAAACTCTGTAAAGTTTTATTCATATAAATATGTAGATACATACAACAATATTAATGTTATAATTTATAAGAACCTGATGCTGCTTTTAGCACTGCACAACAATATTGTTGAATGCATTCTCCCCTAAACAAGTATAAACTAAGCTAGATAATAATTAGAGTCAGATAGATATTTGTCGGACCTGATTAGTGTAATATTACTAATATCATATAATATAATCAGTGACTGGAACAATTACTTTTCAAAAGTCCCAGTAAACACGAAACATTTATGAAACATTACGAAACATCCCAAACGCGTATAATTTGAAACGTTCCAGTGTAACATTTCATAAACAAACGTGCAACCTAAATAGAAACGTTTCAGGCACATTTTTGCTGAAACGTTTCTCAAACGTTCCTCTTGAGACGCATTTAAAACATTCTTCAGAGCGCTTGCGCACTGCAATTTTGACAGAGGAGTATTTTGTTATTGCGCATCGTGCTAGAACGACGGATTCCCGCGAAACGTTCGTGTTTTGTGAAAAAATAAGTACCATAAAGGTTCTTGAATCGGTATTAGTTTATCGTATTAACGTATAATAACCTACTGTATATTAAAGGTACTATTTTTATTAGTACATCATATGTATATGTGATTTGCGTAGTTGTAGCGTCAACATATATGTCGGAACAACATGTCGCAAGAGGAAAAAGAATTACTTGAAGAAAGGCATGTAAGTAGCTTATTCTCTAATCGAACAAATAAACTTGTGGTCAGTAAACGGCATCTCCGAAGATTAGTACGTAACAATATTTGCAAGCCATACACCCACGGATCCACAAAGAGTACAAGTACTGATTTAAAATTAAGTAGCCAAATTTGCAGTGTAAAACACCAAAATAAATTCAACGTGCAATTGTGTAATCATCTTGATCCCGCAAAAAATATTCCATCGGCAAATTGTTACAGTATTGCTGTTGCCTCATCCGTTGATGACACGTATTGTGAACGTCGGCGATTTTCGCCGCCGCAGAAATCAACACAAGAAATAAATAGCTTCACATCTGACTTTACTCTTAATAATGAATTGCCATTTCTTGACACTCATGAAAATCCAGCTCATGAACGCCCGAATAATACTTTCGTGAATGATATTCGTAATTGGATACTTCAATACCGAACATTGCTCTCTCAACAAGCTATTAATGATTTGCTGCAAATTTTAAGACAAGGTGGTTACAATTTACCCAAAAACGCTAGAACTCGATTGCAAACGCCCAGATCATGTAATATTATTGATGTACTTGAAGGACATTATTATCACTTCGGGGTTGCGCGTGGAATTTTAAATAATTTAACTGATGTCCAGACAGTAAAAGCGAACGATATTTTAAAACTCAGTTTAAACATAGATGGGTTGCCACTGACTAAAAGCTCTACTAGTCAATTTTGGCCCATATTATTATCAATAGAGTCAAGATTATCGCCTCCATTTATTTGTGGAATATATCACGGTATGAAAAAACCAAGCGATGTTAGTCAGTTCTTAAATGAATTTGTCCAAGAATTCAAATTTTTAGAGCTAAATGGTTTAGAGGTTGGCAAAACAAAAATTTTTCCTAGGATTTCTAAGATTATCTGCGATGCTCCTGCCAAGGCATTCATTTTAGGTGTCAAGGGTCACACAGGCTACCATGGTTGTACGAAATGTATTGATCAAGGCGAGTACATAAATGGCAGAGTAACTTTTCAGAGTTTGGTTTCTCCGTTGCGCACAGATGATTCCTTCAAAAACAAAGAAGATGATTTTCATTTGTATAATAGTCCACTTGAAAATTTAAACGTAGGGCTTGTTAGTAACGTATGTTTGGACTACATGCATCTTGTGTGCTTAGGTGTGATGAAACGGCTAGTACTTTTTTGGGTGAAAGGTAAAAAAGATGTTAGAATTCCTGACTCGAAAATGGCCATTTTATCTAAAAACATCTTGAAGCTTAAAAAAGTTATACCTATAGAATTTGCAAGAACTCCTAGAAGTCTTCTCGAAGTCGATCGTTTTAAAGCAACAGAATTTAGACAACTGTTGCTGTATACAGGACCAATAATATTAAAGGATGTTTTACCCCGAGACAAATTTTTACATTTCATGTCGTTACACACGGCTATTCGTTTTCTGTGTTCACCTGAATTGTATCTTAAATATAACAACTCAGCTTGTGATTTATTACGTTATTTTGTAAAAAATTTTGGTGCATTATATGGGAAGGAATTTGTTTCTTATAATGTACACAATTTAATACATTTGCCAAATGACTGCTTGCTTCATGGTAATTTGGATGACTTTAGCGCTTTCAAATATGAGAATTATTTATACAATATTAAAAAAAATGGTCAAAACTTCACGTCGACCATTACAACAAATTGTTTGCAGGCTGACCGAAAGACTACAATTAAATGAGAAGACTGGTGTCAGTTATCCCCAACTAGAATATGAAGTAGAAAATCAACTGAATGAAAATATTACATGCTTTAAGAAATTAAAATTGAAAAATTTTCAAATTATAATAAATGACAAAGATAACTTTGTCCTTTTAAGTGATAACAGTATATTTTGTGTCAAGTATATTGCTAAAAATTTCAACAATAACATTTTTCTTTATGGCAAAAAATTATATCTGCTATCATCATTGTACACTGAACCTTGCAATTCTCAAGAATTTTTTAATATAGTAACAACACAAAACCATTTATCTCAAGATTTGTGTAAGATACAGTGTGACGATATTAAACAAAAATGCCTGAAGTATATCATCAATGAAGAAACGTTGGTTTTTATACCACTATTGCATAACGAGAAACAATAAATCACGTTCATCAGGTTCGTACTTGTTAATCTAATTATCTTTTAATTATAAATTTATTTTGTATAAGACGAAACTGGTGTGTATGCAGTAAAAAATTATGAACTAAAATTTGTACTGGTGTCACGAAAAACTAGGGCAGCTATTTATAACATACTGTTGTAATATTTTAGAAAATTTTAAGCAGCATCACTAAGGTTGTAAAGTCTTTGTGATTTTACGGTTAACCATATATGCTTTTGCTGTTATTTATTAAGTATTTGTAAAAAGTATATTGGCCGAAGTTAATTTAAGGCATAAATAAAATTAATTACATTTTTAATACCAGCTAAAATTTCATAATGCTGATGAAAGAAATAGTTTTTACGCTAACAATTCCTACTTACAGTAGTCTTATCATTATAATTATCGTTTTAGTCTTCGTTTCTTTTTATTTGATTTGCTACTTAGATCAGCCCAGAAGTAAAACTACGATTGTGGGATATTTACTTACAACTAATAATATTTAAACATCATTCGTACAGCAATTGGTGTTTCATCAGAAATGAAAATAATCATTATAGCACTAAAATAGTGCTTGTTCTCTCTCGTTAATTTGTCGTTCCTGTGGACTGTTGTTGAATTCACCAAGGACGACGATTATCGGGAAATATCCTGCATTCCCAACAATTGGGTCTTCAGCAAAAACGACGAAGTATTTTCGTTTTGGCAGAAGAGGAATATACGAAAACATATCAAAAATGCAACTCCCCCAGAAAAGCAATGGGACGTTTGGCCGGCAAGGGTAATGCTTAAAAATAGCGGTATGCATATTTTTTCGCGTTGTTACGTACTGTTTTTAACATTTTAATTATAGTATCATATAAGGAAGCTATTTCCTTTGAGAAAAAAAATGAAAAGGTAACTGAGTCAGAGGGAGAAGAAGTTCGTTCCAAGAAACGCAAACGAAAGGCAATTTGTCTTAAGGATTTTATAACTGATGTACTAGAAGAAGAGGAAGATGATCAAATTCCACCTCCGCCAAAAATTATTAAAGGTAAAATAGTACATAAAGTTTAAGTATGTCGCTTTAATTTTTATATTGTGTGGAAAAAACCGTTTGTGTTTCAGCACCACCTTCGCCAGCTACGACAGTGCCTTCACGATCCCTAAATGATATTTGTATGTTAAAAACGAAGTGTGTTGTGTAATTTTTTATGTTTCATGATTTTAGTATCTGCCAAATCCTATGGTGACATTGCCACTACTTCTGGTGATACTTGTACGATAGATGACTAATAGAGTACGGTGCCAATCAATACATTTCGGACACTAATGTCATTTCATTGTCATGAGTCTAATTTAACTACATGCAAATTTTGACGTGACAGTAAATTTGAAGTCCGAAATTTATTCGCCGGCCTTGTACATCTAATCGTTCATTTATATATTTGTTGTTCTGTTTTAGTATCAGTAAGAAGCTTGGAACGTAATAATAATGATTCACCTGCGACCTGTACGTAGATTACAATATCAAAACGTCGTACTTTAAGTTTTTAATTTTGTAGTATCGTTAGGTTCAGAAGTTAATACTTCTCCACAAGACTCCTTAATCATTACTGAACCATGTAATGTTGATGGTAAGTTTAAATAAAATTGAAACTGAAAATTACACATAGCTATTATATTTGTAGATCAAATTGTAGACAAACTAAATGAAATTATAAGAAAAACCACTCGGGTAGAAATTATGGTGAAAAGATTATTACAAAAAATTAGTAATGATCCTACACATACCCCATTACATAATACTGACAGTATTAGTAATACATGTATACAACCTTTTACAAAGTACCGGCTGTTATGTGAATACGAAGAAAGATTAAAATCTGGCGAGGACGCCAGAAAAGAACTGGTAAATATGCAATATCTAATGTGTTCATACGTATATATTTAAAATTTAAATCAAATAATTAGGACAACATTTTCCGCTTATGTGGAGGCAACTCCACTAAAGAAAATATAAAAAGGGGTTTGCGCCGCATATTTGATGATAAATTGGCTCGTAAATGCTCTTGGCTGGGTAGAAAAAATAATTTTCAAGTGTCTAACTTGATCATTATGGATGTACTAAAAAGTAATAATATGTATGTGTTTATTATTTTTATTGATTTAAAGTACATTTTAGATGCAGTTCGAAAAAATTTTCCGTTATTAACCGACAAAATATTTGAATTAACTGTTTCTACATGGCTGAGACAAGCAAATCTTCGCTTCACGAGAAAACTTGAGAAATAGTTGTATGTATAACTTTAACTTCCTGTCAGTATTTTTTTATATTTTTTGTATTTTGTTTTATTTTAACTGTGCACTTTGTAAGTTACTTTTGTTTAAAATTACCATATCATATATGTAATAAATACATATTCCAAAAAATTGAGTAGTATTATTCAGTGTTTATTTTATTTATTAAAAGAATTTTTTATTTAGTTATTTATGTATGTTTGTGGATTTAATGAATTCTACTAAAAGATATTAAAAAATAATATTTTGTTGAGGTCGTGATAAAAGAAGCCCGTATTTCGAACCCCAAACCAAATTTCAGTAGGTAAGTATATATGATAATATAATCCACATACACATATGTATATATGTCTAGTATTAAATTATAGCATAGCTATTAAAAATATACAGGTATTAATTTCTTGGTGAAACATTCTTGATACCTAAAAAGATGTTTTATACAAGATGTTTCAAAGCTGTTTTAAAAACATTTCACATGAAATGTTTCAAAGAGGTTTCACATGAAACGTTTCAAATGAAACATAATAAGGGTAGGACATTTTTGGTTGCCGGGATGTTCCAGAAATGTGTCCAGGCTCTGTGAGAAACGTTTCATGTTTCTGAATGATTGTTTTTGACACATTTCAGACACATAAAAAGGTTTACTGGGATAATGCATTGCAATTACTCATTATTCACTAGAAACAATAGCAATTCATTACAATTACAAATTACTTTTTTTAAAGGAATTCATTACAATAATTACTCATTATTTTTAGATATTTGTTGGGGGTCATCTTTTCTCTTTACCCCACATAATAGCTGCAGTATTTATTTACCGCGTATTATAACATCGAACTAACAGTTTATTCACAACTAGTATAGGGCAACATGTTACATATTTTACCAAAAATCAAAGAGCTGATTCTTTTGCGCCTAATTTCATTCCACTCTAGCTACAAATAAAAGTTTGATGCCAACTGCAACAATTTTTAAACAAAAATTTGCATTGGTGGGAGATTTCTTGGCTATGTTTAAATGAATCGTAAATATTAGTCCACCGATAATTACCTGCGGACGCAAATCTTTAAATCTTTAATAAAAAGGATGTTCTTAAATACTTAGAAGGGGGCTACAAGATAATGTAAACTTAAAAGTCTGTTTTTAATTGCCTCTTACTTGGCGTTGTGACTTACAGAATAAATTTGGAAAACCATAGAAGGTGGACATTCTCATAAAATTTTATTGTCGGATTATGAGGGGTTTAATAAAATGGCTAAAGTTTGTTTGACCACAAATTTTAAATATTCTGCACCTGTTTAGTTAATTATTTATTAAGATCTTTTATTTCTATAAAGCGCAATGGAGTTTTTAATACAATTTCGACTAATGTACCTTTTTGAAAATTTAAAATTGATCCATAAATAGAGAAAACCAGATAATCTCATACTCATCACAATTTTAACGCGTTGCAGTTTTTTTTTTTTGACAGCAAAATTTAAAAAACGGAAAAGCAGTCTAGGTAGGGTTTAGGTGATGAAGAGCTTATGTATATTATGGTTGCCTGGTTTCCTAACAAATTCTGTCCTAAACTCGTTTTAGATTTTAACTCCCTACTGTGTTAATCTTCTCTTTGTGGGGACGGACTAGGTATAATAATCCTAGCAGATCAGGTCAGTATTTGGGTTAAACGTAATTGCAAAAAGAAATTGTAAAAGTGACTGAATTAAGTAATTTGTTACATTAGCTCATTACTTGAAAAGGAAATGAATTACAGTAATGCGTTACTTGTAATTGAATTACTTCCAACCATTGCTTTTAGTATTGCACAACAATATTGTTGAATCCGTTCTCCCCTAAACAAGTATAAACTAAGCTAGCTAATTAGAGTCAGATAGCTATTTGTCGGACTTGAGTTATCGAAGATGACCGCGGACCGGATTAGTGTAATATCACTAATATCATATAATATAATTAGTATCAATTAAGAATGATTGAGGCTAAACTTCGTAGTTCTATGAATCAGAACTATTGAGTTCTGAAACTTGGCATTTGTTTTTAGATTCGCAGAATTCGCGAAAATTGCGATTAACAAGACAATTAAAGAAGGTTAAATTTTTAATTAACATTGTTAAATGAGAAATGTAAATGTGTTGATAAGTAATTATCACACTTCCAATGAGACGCCACTTATGAAGCGAAACCTAGTTCAATATATAGAAAAAGATTTTTGTTTAATGGTATAATTTGACACCTGTTGGGAACTGATTCAAAAACAAATTTTGAAATTATAATTTTATAATCGATCCTTTATTTTCAGATTAATTATATGAAAATATGTGAAGCGCTTCCCTGAAAAAACTACATGTATATTTCAAATTTTATACAAAACCAGAAGTAAACCTTCTGTTGCATAAAACCTCAAATGTTTTACTGTTAAAATTTTATCTTGTTTAATGCAATTGACCTAAATATATTTTACAAAATAGTGCTGATTAACCTAAACAAAATCTGCGATTTCATGTCGTGACATACAGCTTTAGACGAATATAGGAGCCTAATTCATACAAAATAAAGCTTCTAATCTGTCCAGTGAAGCTATTTTTGCTTTTTATCATTTTGTATGTGTTAAATTTTATTGATTTGAGTATTTTAGTTCTAAAATAAAGACTGGATTTTCCGCCAACTCTGTCACCGTAGGTCTACTTTCATCCTGTTTCATGCATATGAATTAATTCAAATGAAACTCGATGAACACGACATATCGGAGGTTTCTTCCCCCAAAAACCACAATCCGTCCCTTTCAGTTTATTTTTGTGTATGTATAAAACGTCCACATAATTTTACACACTTGGATACATACGACGATAAAAAATTGTAATTTTTTTGATACGCGAAACAGCTACTTATACAGCAAGAAATAGAGGTGTTCAAGCGTGAGATTATCCACTGAAATATGCTTCAGTGTATTCCAACCGCGCCAATAAAAAATTTTGTACCTCCAAATTAGAATTAAACTATGTTCCAATCAGTTTCGGAAATTGTAATTTTAATAGTAATTATAGTTGGTATTAAGAAGAAGTAAGTAATAAAGAAAGATAATAAGCAGTAAACAATATAGGTAACAGTGTTCCTCAAACTGCGGGATGATCCTCAAAGGCATCACATGTTTTTTGAGGGTGTTAACAGTTATGACATAGTATTTGAGTAATAGATTTTACTTTGTCTAAAAAGGGTCCTTTTGAAAGTCCAGGACAACAAGTTGTTTCTATTTGTTGTAGGGTAGTAGTACTTAAGTAATCGATATTTTTAAACAATGCTGCATTAGAAATCTGTCCGGCTAGAAATCCACTAGTTGCATTTTAATTATTTACATGCTACCTTACTTACACAACGTTTTTATTTATACTACTGCTTTCACTTAATGCACAGAATTATTTTTTTGTAAGGCTCTACAAGTAAATATCTATTTTCAATTTTCATTTTAAAATAAAAAAAATATATTTTTGTAGTACTACACCGTTTATGATGATGGCACAACACTCGACGACCTTAACTCAAATGAGACAAGCACGAGAACGTGAAAGCAGCAAAAATGAGGTCGTATAATGTCTTCGGTATTTTCACTTGCGGCAGCACCAGGCAGCGGTCTTACAACAAATGAAATAAAATGTTTTAGCAGTTCGTGAGTGAAATATCCTGTAAAACTGTGTTAAGGTGAGTACTTATTGTTTATTTTTATGTTTTGGTCATTGTGTTTAAAAATTAAAAAGTGAGCGCGTGCTTCTCTAATAGAATGTTAGCTTCTTTATATTCCGCATGACGATTTCCTAACTTAATTCCAAGAACTGTCTTTACGCAGTGTCAGATTACCCATTCATGGCACATTTTTCCAAGCAGTGTTAAAAGAAAATAAAACCATATTTTTCTTGTAGTTTGCCGTTGTTCCTGGAGAAAATCATTTTAAAGAAATCATGTCAAAATTTTACCGAAATGTTAAAATTGTGAAAACAGTGACACGAAACCGTTCGGAATCAGTAATCTCGTCACCAAGTTTCTGCCCCCACGTTGAAGAATTAAGTGCTGCCAAACCTTACTCGGAAATACCTGGTCCCAAACCCATACCGATACTAGGAAATACATGGCGACTTTTGCCCATTATAGGTCAGTACGATATTTCGGATGTGGCAAAACTGTCGAAACTATTCTACAAGGAATATGGGAAAATCGTTAAACTGTCGGGACTGGTTGGAAGGCCTGACTTATTATTTATTTATGACGCCAATGAAATTGAAAAAATATATAGACAAGAAGGGCCGACACCATTCAGACCTTCAATGCCTTGCTTAGTAAGGTATAAGAGCGTCGTAAGGAAACAATTTTTTGGAGACTTGGCTGGAGTTGTCGGAGTGTAAGGCCACATCTAATTAAAAAAAAATTGTGTACATTTTTTCATTTCAGACATGGTGAACCTTGGAGGGAATTCCGTAGCAAGGTACAAAAACCTATTCTTCAAATTCAGACTGTTAAGAAATATATTCAACCAATTGAAACAGTCACAACCGACTTCATTCAAAGGTAAGTTCAATGATAAAGTAAATTCCAATTTTAATTTTTTGTGTTTAACAAGAATGATGGAAATGAAAAATGACGCTGAAGAAATGCCGGCGGATTTTGACAATGAAATTCACAAATGGGCGTTAGAATGTAAGACAATTCCAGTTGCAGTTTTTCAAACATATAATGTCAATATTTTAGGCATAGGAAGAGTTTCTTTGGATGTCAGATTAGGTTGCTTGGACCCTAATTTACCGGCAGATTCCGAACCCCAAAAAATTATCGAGGCGGCAAAATATGCCTTAAGAAACGTAGCTCTTTTAGAATTGAAATTCCCTTTTTGGAGATACATTCCAACACCCCTGTGGACAAAATACGTAGAAAATATGGATTATTTTGTAAAGTATGACAGCGAAGATAGTCAATCTTCCGATTTTACAGTAACATTTTTTTTTAGAATATGCATGAAACACATTGATGCAGCGATGGAGCGACTTAAATCCAAAACAGTGACTAATGAAAACGATCTTTCACTGGTCGAAAGAATTCTCGCCAATGAACCGGATCCTAAAACTGCATACATTTTAGCCTTGGATTTAATTTTAGTTGGAATTGACACCGTAAGTATTGCAACAAGTTACGAGTTTCGAAAGTGTACACAAAACAACACTACGCGTATTTGCATAAAATTAAGACGTGAGGTAATTAATTTATTCTTATTAACATATTTCAGATATCGATGGCTGTGTGTTCGATACTGTATCAACTGGCCACAAGACCAGAACAACAAGAAAAATTGTACAGGGAGCTTAAAAGAGTAATGCCCGATCCTAACACACCACTGAATACCAAATTATTAGATCAAATGGATTTTTTAAAAGCGTTTGTTAAAGAAGTGTTAAGGTTAATAACTGGTGTATTATTCGTACAAAAATTATTTTGTTGTTGTAGGGCTTACTCTACTGTGATCGGTAATGGAAGAACTTTGCAACAAGACACTATAATTCATGGATATAAGATTCCTAAAGGTATTCAAGTGGTATTTCCGACCCTTGTTACAGGAAGCATGGAAGAATTTGTAAGCCAGCCTGACGAATTTATTCCAGAACGTTGGCTGAAGAAGTCGGATGATTACAAAATTCATCCATTTGCTTCGCTACCTTATGGGTATGGAGCTCGTATGTGTTTAGGTAGACGATTTGCGGACCTCGAAATTCAGGTGTTGCTAGCTAAGGTGAACTATTTACATAAGGGAAACACAAAATTTTATTATTCTTTTTTCAGTTAATACGTTCCTATAAGTTGGAATATCATCACGAACCTTTGGAATATAAAGTTACCTTCATGTATGCGCCTGATGGCGAATTGCGCTTCAAAGTTATTAAACGAAAAGAATGATTACCAGTTGAATTTGTATAGTGTAAATTTAGTAGATTATACTGATTAGTGATTATTATAGAATAAATTAATGCTGTGGAAATAGAATTTTAATGATTTTTGTCTTGCTTTGAATGTTCTCAATGAACTTGCCTACACAACTATTAAGCAAACAGATAGTAACCTTGGCCTAGAAAGTAAATCGTTGATTGTAACATTAAACATTGCTTCATTAGATGTGTAAATGCCACAAGATAGCTACAAAGAACGCTAATGACCGCCTGTGAGATAAATAAAACATCCTTTACTTTACACATCTTTTTATTGTTCCGTCCTATTGGGAAAAATCATTTTGATATTCACGTGTGTAAATAAAAAACCAGTTACGTAAAAACGTGTTTACGACACTTTTATTTTATTGAAATGTGTAGGTACCACAAGTGGGGTTTATCACCGTTTGATAAATTTAAGTTTTAATGGCCCATTGGGAGTATACATGGGATGAATATAATAATCGAGCTTTTCATAGTGATACTCGATTTTATAGTTGGAGATTATCTGAAAACACACCAATAAATAAAAATAAAAAATTTGAATCACCACCTACTTTTGCCAAAACCGTTTGAATTTCTAAATCGGCAAACCTCCTCCCTAAACACATTCTTTTTCCAAACCCAAACGGCAAGGAAGCAAACGGATGGTGACTTTTACACAAATCCGAGGTCTTCAGCCACCTTTCCGGTAGAAACTCGTTACACCTTGGGAAATAATCTTCTAAATTGCTTATGACGCAATGTTGAAATATCACTTGAATCTGCAATCATTGTTATTAGAGAAGGTAATTGCTCTCTCTAAATTAATTACTCCTTTCGGTATCTGGTAACCTCCTATCACGCGATCGCTCGTTGTGCATCTACCATTACCGATTACTACCGGATACATTCTAAAAGCAAAATCGTTCCGTAAACACAAAGAATCAATTCACACCTTGCTGCGAACCTCATGGTTTCCTTAACGCAAGCTTTCAGATATTGCATTCGGTCTAATTTCTCATGAGTTAATTCAGTGTCACTGTCCGGTAATAATTTTTTAACTTCGTCGTAGAGATTTGCTTGTTTTTCCTGATGCAAAGAGAGCTGGTATAAAATAGAAGCAACGGCATTGGATGTCTGGAAGTAGATTGCGTGAATAAGCAAAGTACAAAAACAAGTAACTTTGTGGAAAAAGTACATGAATTTAAATTAGTTTGAATTAAGTGAAACGTGTAACTACGTGACTGTGTTATTTACAGTCAACAAGAAGGCGACAAGCAGGTAATTCTTGTATATAATGTATCTTGTCGCAAAATTTCTCATGATGGTGAGATAATTTGTGAAAGTGCACTTACGGTATCAATACCGACGAGAAACATATCCAAAGCTAAATTCGACGCAGTTTTGACATTATTGTCCATTTTCAAAACTCTTTGTAAAACAGATAGTTCTTGGTTATCCTGTTTGTCTAATTTATGCAAAGCAATGTCAATATGTTTTAATGTTATTCTAAAAATGAAAAAGTTAGTAATTACGTACTACACAATTAAAATTATTTATTACTCTCGTATGGTGTCTAAAGCTCGTAAATACGTCTTAAACGTTGGAGTACTCCATAACCTCCAGAAAGGTATTTTTAGCTCCAAAACTGGTACAAGCATGAAGAAAGTATGCACTGCATCAATTAGCCTTTGAGTGTCGGGGTGCGCATCACGATCCAAGCAACCAAGCCTCACATCTAAAGCAATCTTCGCGATTGCTATTACAACAATAAATCAATAATAAAAATGTTTTAATAACACCCATAATTGCATGCACTCACATTCTAAAGACCATTTGTGCACTTCGTTAAGAAAATCTTCAGGCACTTCATCATCCTCATTCTTAATGGCTTCAATCCTAAAAAATAAAAGTATTCATCTAAAGATACACGTGCGATACTTTCAAACTTTTGACTTACCTGTCTACCAATTCTTGCGAAGTGGCGGTAATGGACTTGACATACATTTTCGTAACGCGAGGTTGCAACATAATTTGGTTAACTCTGGATCTGAAATCCTGCCATTTCTCGCCGTGTCTGAATTGGTAACGTTATTAAAAATCATTTAGCAACATTCTTTGTGTTAAAGTAATTGCACAATACTCACACGGCAATTACACCACAGTTGTTGTCGCCGAAAAACTCTTTCCTGTATACGTGCTTGTAATAATTGAGTGAAGGCATGGACGGTCTAAAAGGTAAACTATCCTCTTGTCTAAAAACCTTTTCGATTTCGTCGGGATCGAAGAGGAACAGCATGTCAGGACGCCCCAACAGACCTTCCATTTTTACTATTTTTCCGTATTTTTCGTGAAGTTTTTTTGAAACTTTGTCGATATGTTCGGTTTGGAAGTCTCCTATATGATTAAAATTTCGATTATTAGAATTTATCATTTATAGCACAATACTAATTTTTTTATTACGTTACAATTTATTTTAAACTTACCAATAAAAGGAATAAACCTCCAAGTATTTCCTAAAAGTGGTATGGGCGTAGGTCCAGGCACATTTTCGTAAGGTATCGCACTTTCCCATTCTTCTAGTGAAGGGGTCGGTTCATCTGACAGAACAGTAAGCACATTTTGTCTGCTATTAGCGCAGGTATTAATTATCCGTTTAGTTATTTTCAAAAACTTCATTTTTAAAGAGAAAAAATGATATGTTATCTAGTTCGAAATGAAAGACATCTGACTTAATTTCATACACCATGACCGTAAAGTTTCGCCAAGTATCCCCTCCCAGGGACCGTAAACTACAAGAACCCAGAACACTGAATATCTGGGGAGGGGAATGTTTCATGCAGTTATTAAATAACTTTTACCACTAAATTAAAACAAGAAACGCAAACCAGTTGTTAATTACAATTTTGTGCCAAAAGTAAGGGGTTTCATTTCATACCAGACAGTGATATTTTCCTCATAAAAAAACTGGGTATTTTTTATTGAGTATCCTTGAGGATTCGTATCTTTTCAAGCATGTTGTGCGTTGCGCCATAAAATGATATTCAATTTTAATAGACCTGACCTAAAATTGTCTTATTCTCGATAGCATTTTTAAAGAAATTATTTTCATGTCGTGTTGAACGTTATTTATAAATACCGTAACTTAGCTATTTTCTAAACCAGATACGCTTTTTCCTTATTAAGTAAGTATAACGGCTGCCGTTTTAGGAAATTAAATCACTGTCACTTCAGGACAGCTATAAATTGGTATGGTTTTTATATGAAATAATAAATACGTACTAACTGCAGTACATTTTCAAAGTAACTTAATTAAAAGTATGGTCATAGTAGATTAAAGGAACAAAGTACGTTAGCATATACTATACATGATAAAGAAAAAAAAACAGACTAAGTAGTTCTAACAATAATGTTATTATTTTGGGTACAAATGGGAACATAGTCGTAGAAGTGGTAGATTAATTGAAAATTGTAATCATATCAACTTTCTCTTTAATACATTTAATTTTCTGATACTAGCAGTAATATTAGCGGTTAGAAATGATTTAGCATAATACGCAGTTACGCACTGTAAATTTCACAGTGTTTTTTACTATAGCATCATACTTTTACTTTGGTATTAAGATTAAAAAAATTAAAAACAAAATACAAAATATATAATATAATTTTACAAGAATGTAAGAGAAGTACTTAGGCTGCTAATTCAAAATGAAAAAATTCTTGAAAAAAATGTTTTTTGTAAACAGTAAATTGTCTTTAACTTTATTTCAAATATACATATCCCAAATAACTAAAAGAGACTGCTTCTAGTGTACTGAAAATACATACTTTATGTAACGAGTGTTAGTGAAAGTGGGTGTAAACTAATTCTAATTTTTATTGAACTTTTCTATTGTTATGTTAATTTGTCGAAAAAGTATATAAATATCTATAAAGACTTATAGTATAAATTACTTAATTATCGCCACGGTGACAATTTTAAATTAAATATAAAGACGCATTTTAGTTCGATACATTCTTAAGTTATTACAAATTTATTGAACTAACACTACAGAAAGAACATATTTACACTATTACGTAGGTAAACATTGCATGTGGGTACCAAAAAACCATATTTATTTCCTTTTATACAATACTTATGTACTTACGTTTGTATACTTACTATCGATGACACTAATGACAATTTTATGTCTGCACTGTACACATCGTTAGTGTAAACAGGAGACTGCTTTTATTTGAAAAAATTGCAAAAGATACCATGTAAAACAATAATAAAAAAATTGTAAGTTACTTAGCAGAATTTCTCAAACCTCTGAAAGACTGCAAATGTCGCAACTATGTCATATTGAAAAGTCTTGTTTAATAATTTTTTCAAACTTTACAATCAAAAGAGGAAGTCCTGTCAAAATAAATTTCAACCAATTTTTTTTTAATTTCTAAATTGCTAATTTGTATTTTATTTACCAAAATGTGAACAATATCCATTGATAAATTCTTGAAAATACTGTAAAGTTTTAATGCTAAACTTAAACCAGTTTTAGAATTTTCGAAAACTCGAAGATTTAAGCAAATTAAAAAATACTAAAAACTTAGAAAGGGGAATGTGGAGAAAAAATGAGAGATGGCAGAGCCTGAAACGTTTAACACTTTTTATAAACGCAAGTAATTATTTCACAGCAATGGAATGCCACGGCATGTGTAAAAATCGACCACCGTGGTAAGACCGTTGTACACATGGCTAAGCTTTTAGCAAGACTTGTGGTAGCCAAAATGGTATACACGGTCCAGTTAAACAAACATTACATTATTTTTTGGCCTTGACTTCTGACCGTTAAATGAGTGAATCCATTTGTATTTATGATCTTTCAAACACACCCTACTCGTATAATGTTAAGTAAGCTAAATTATTCTAGATCAAACAAAAAAGCAATTTCTTAATTAGTAACTCTGTGATAAAACTAATAAAATGCAGATGGCTAAAGCACATAAATGTTGTCATTTTTCATATACAGTAGTGAGCCATGGTTCAGGGGTTCAGAACTAAAATGGATCAAATTCAAAAATTATTTTTACGAGTAAAACCGTGTTAAAAGTTTGTTTATGAACTAACTTAAGTACTAATTGTTTGTACTTTCATACCCGAAAAAATTAGATAGAGAAAAATTGGTCTAAAGAGTTTAGACAGTACTTGACGACTGCATGCCTATTGTGTTTTTTCTCATTACATTTTTGTAGTGGGAATTTAAAAAAAAATTGCGATGACGTCATCAACATTTTTGCAAGGACACGTATATCAGTTTGGGATAGATGTAGTGTAATACTAAGAATAAAAATTATTATATTCTCAAATTTTCGGGAAAATGAATTGGGTCGTTTTGAATACTGATTTGTAATAATCAATAAAATAACGAAACAATTTACTCACGTATACGTATCCCAGGCAGCTGAAAATCGTGTATGTATAAACATTCTTAATTTAAGATGACAGGCGTAACAGCATACTTGAGAGTCAAACAGAGAAACTGTAAACAAAACGACCATCGGTTTTATTGCTTCGACTTCCGCTTATTATATAAAACATTGGGTTTTATTTTAATTCTTGACGGTGAAATTCACAATTGGTTGATTATAAACATGTCTATTTCACATTCACGGAACCAAGTGAACGCATAAAACAAATGCAGGTCTGTAATGTTAAAGTCGATGTAAATAAGCATGCTACCCTTATGTTTCAACCGAGTTTTTCCTTTAACAAATTTTTTGTCTACCAAATTGGGTTGGTTGGGATATAATACTAATAATAAGTGTTGCCTTTAATTTAATCAATAAAATAAATTGACTTCATTAATTTTTTTGAACCACCTCTTAAGAAAATCTAAAAAATATGAATGGAATGATAAATCACAAGTACAAACTCATCATATTTTTTGCATTTTAGATAGGATTTATTCAGCAAAATTTAAGGGTGACGTCATCAATTTTTTTAGGAGGGATGAACAAATACATTTTGAACAAAAGTTTACCATGCTTATAATAACTTTAGAATATTCCCAAAATTTCAAAGCATTCGGTTTTGTAATTCCTGATTAAATCGATAAAATAAATTCACGCCTTCATTAATTTTTTTGAGTCACCCTGCATATGCAAATCCAAAAATATGAATGGAATGATAAATCACAAGTACAGACTCATCATATTTTGTACATTTTAGATACGATTTATTCTGCAAACTTTTGAGCTGACGTCATCAGTTTTTTGTAGAAGATAACCAAATATATTTTGACTAAAAATTTATTATGCTCTTTATAACCTTAAAACATCTGCAAGATTTCAAAGCATTCGGTTTTGTAGTTCCTGATTAAATCAATAAAATAAATTTACGCATTCATTAATTTTTTTGAGTCACCCTGTATATGCAAATCGAAAAAATTTGAATGGAATGACAAATTACAAGAAGAGACTCACCATATTTTGTACATTTTAGATAGGATTTATTCAGCAAAATTTTGTGGTGACGTCATAAATTTTTTAGGGGGGACGACCAAATACGTTTTGATCAAAAATTTACCATGCTTATGATAATTTTAAAATATCTTCAAGATTTCGAAGCATTCGGTTTTGTAGTTCCTGAGTAAATCAGTAAAATAAATTTACGCTTTCATTTATTTTCTTGAATCACCCCGTATATGCAAATCCAAAATATCTGGACTTACCTGGCAACAATTATTGTAACTTGGTCCAATTTTTAAAATTTGGAGATATATATCCTCAATGACACTCACTCTTCAACAGTTTTTTTCGAATTGGCTTCGCATTTCGCAATCGCAACTGTTTCGTCTCGCCACCCAAACAAGTGATTCCCCCCGCGCCGCTCGTCGTTTCCAACTTCCGCTTTTTGCTATGGCTGGGAGTTTGTTTATATAAACTATGTCTCAACGTGCGATAAAGAAATGACACGGTCAGTGGCGTAACTGAAGCAAATGCATATGTACTTTTTCTCTGCTTCTCTCGATGTATAAACATTAACAGTCGAAGTTAATCATGTATTGACAATATATAAAATGATTAAGAGATATTCTTCCGATCACAAAAAAAAATTTCAACATTTGCTATTTATGGTGCTTATTCACGAACACACAATAACAAATATATAAATATTATAACATTATTGTTGCGAAAATCGGAAGTGCTGTTCTTGATTTGATGGACGAAAAAAGTTGGAAGTGCCGGGATCTGTTACCGAAACTTCTAATTGCACTGCACACTCCACCTCCACTAAACCACAGGCCACAGTTGCTTATGTTAAAACTCATCATATTTTGCACATTTTGAGTTAAACTTTTTTGGCAAAAATTGTAGATGACGTCATGAATTTTTTCGGGGGAATAAACAGATATATTTTCATTAACAATTTACCATGCTCACAATCAATTTTAACCATCTGCAAGATTTCAAAATATTCAGTTTAGCAATTCTTGATTTATTCACTAAAATAAAGTGACTGATTCATTTCTTTTTTTGAATCACCCTGTATAAGCAAGTTAAAAAATTTGAATGCAATGATTAGTTACAAGTGTAGTCAGATCATATACTTTATTCAGTAAAATTGTGAGAAGACGTAATGAATTTTTTTTGGGGTTGATAAAGAGATACATTTTGATTAAACAGTTACCATGCTTACAATAACTTCAAAACGTCAAGATTTCTAAGTATTCAGTTTTGCAAAATCAATTCACTCCGTCATTAATTTTTTTCAGACACCCTGTAT